TAAATATGAGCAAAGGACCACGATTATGTTATAAATGTAAGCGAAGTACCATGATTTCGTGGTAAATATGAGCTACTTTACGGCAAATGACAATTGTCGTCATGGACAGTTCGAAAGATAATCTTCTGGTTAGGTTTTGATACAATAAATTTGATGGTCAATGATTGATTATATGTAACAAGTTATTGGTGAAAATGTCCACAAATGTGCATGTGCGAGAGGCGCTGTATTCGTTTCAACTGTGTTTATTGGCCATGTCATGGAAATGTTAACAATTGTCTTGTTGTGGAGAACACTAGACAATATGCACTTTTATATGTATATGCAGGAAATCGTGAATGCAGATTTACAGGATATGGAAATGAATTTGCAACAATATATTACCGAAATGCGAAAGCCCTGTGCGTGGGTAACCATATAATGCTCACTGTAGTAGCAATAATGTTGAAAAGAAAGGTTAAGATCGTTGCACCGTGACCAAACTTTACCCGAATGATATCTCTACCAGAAACCATAGATGATGAAACTATGTATCAGGGATATATTCCCCATTACATTTCATTTCATGTCAGTCATCCCTGTTGTTGGTGAGTAAGTATTTAATTAATTAGCTTAACTATTTATAGTATATAATAAAAAAAAATATTCCAATATTTTTCAAAACGTATTGGTGTTGATTCATATTTTGCATTTTTTCAGTAGATAAATTCACCACTCATAGATATTATCTACGAAAGGATCCACCAAAGGTGAGAATATCATCTTAAAACTTCATACATTTATATTTGCTATGCTTCTAATAAAATGTAATCACCCGTGTTATACTTTACTTTCGTCATAGAAACCATTTTCTATGAGATGGTGTCTCTAACATTATTATCAATCATATTATTTTCAGTGTCCTTGAACACGTCATCGTATTTGAAGATGATGTCAATAAGACTGTAGGTTCTGGACAATGTCAAACATTTGGTGAGTTGCAGTAATCATGTTTGTATTACACTTATATGTAATAAATGTGACATCAACGAGGACAAACGTTCCTCCTAGCGATTGTACACGTTTGAACAATTCTGTGGTAATCAAACGGTATGTTATTGTTATGATAAAGGAAACATTCCAAAATTATGATCAACCAAACATACTAACTTTTATTTATTTTTATAATATTATAATAATAATTGCATGTACAATCAAATTTCAAACACCTCCTGTATGTCGGCCGACAACTGGAAAATGTTACAAGCGAGTCAATTAAATGATGAGGTATGGTATAATCCATATATAGTGAATCTGTGAGGCTTATGCATGTAATAATTTATTTGATAACATTTATATATATATATCCAGTAGATACATATTTGTTTGTCCTGCAGATTATTAATGCGTATACAAAATTGTTAAGGAAATCATTACCGGATGAGGCAAAGTGGAACACATTAAACACCTCTAGTTCAGAGTTCACATTATAGTTTGATATCGATTACTTTGCATTGCTATTTTATTTATAATTCTTTATTGAACATCAACAATTGTATTGCAGATCGTAAACGAAATAGGTGTCAGTAGCACGGTTTTGTTACACACAGTCGTATCCAACAAGGCCTATGGTAGCTATATAAAGCAGGTGAGGGACATTACGTAACGTTGTTTGTTATTTGTGTGTGGTAACGTATTTTAAATCATGTTATTGACAATGTTTTTCCACAGGGTTACATCGTGATGTAGTCTGTGATTTCTTACAGTTAATGATGTTATATGTAATTTACTAGTTTCCGGAAAAAACATTTGCATAATCGAAAAGAATACATTTCTCAGCTTTTCTATACATTTGTTTATACTTAGCTTTACTATTCATTAATTAACATTGTCTTTATTTCACAGAAGTCGAAATTGTTCAATCTTCAAAAGTTTTTCATACCCAGACATGTCCCGACAAACAAAATCAAATAATGTACATTTCAAGTAGGATGCACGTGCGTGATTTATAATAGTGGTATGTAAGGGCATCCCATTCTTGATTATGATATGTGAGCTACTGGTATAATATCAATGTGTCAAAATGACTATATTAACACATAAATTATTAGTTTGGATCTATTGCATTCATAGTGCATTATATAATTTATCGTATACAAAATGAACCCAGTTAAGAATGTACCGTATATCAAATTCCGTTTGCATTGCTTATTAGAGTGACTCTAAATATCTGCGCTCTGAAATAATGAGTGATATGAAAAAACGGTGAGTTAAATATATTATAATAGGTTTATAAAACTGAGTTTCCAGGTGGTCGACATATATTAAGTTCTCCCAATCCTAGTATTCTATGTGATGTACATCTAACATGCCAAAAATGTTGCTGAACGATTTGAACCGGACAAAAATAGCAGATGAAAATGTGTTTACAAAATAAAAATAGTTCGGTAGCAAATGGAAATACCATGTCCATTTGCATATCGACCGTGAAAATACCGAAAACATTATTGCATGGGTGATATGGGTGAAATAATGAGTGATATGAAAAAAGGGTGAGTTAAATATATTATTAATGAATCCATATTTATTTTGTATTGTTGTTAGAAGTTTAGCAAAGATCTTGTTTAAGACAAAATGCTATTGTTCTAAGAGCATCTGGAGGGCTGCTTGCATCTTAGTATAATGTTTATGATATGTTTTTCCCGGAAAAATAATATGAGTATCTTCTTTGCAGGGAAAAGATACTGGTTGGCGTGAAATGCGAGATAGAATACATTTCATGTATTAAATACTTTCACTGAGCTTCGAGCTTTAGAATTTCTAATTTCACTTCGATTGATGAATACAATTCGTAGTATTTAATAACTCCAGTCAACTTATCTTCACGAGTTTATATTTATAACGTACTGATGGTCCTTCGCTTATATTTATTATATAATCGTGGTCCTTTGCTGTTATATTTATCATGTACCAGTAATATATTTATCAAGGTATTTTTGTAATTTTAATCCCTACCGAATAATTTGTGATTAAATGCAATGTATAACAACGTTATTGGTATTAGCGGTTTATAGTCATTACACCCGTTTAAGTTCTTCGGTCCTTCGGTTAGGTCCTTCGGTCCTTCGTATTATTGAGTATCTATTCATGCAATCTCTGGTTTTCAGGCATAAAACGATGGTTATCCATGAAGTAAAAAATATCAGCCATGAACATGGGCAACTTCTCATCAAAAGATAACATTTATTGCTCACTCATACGCGGTCTGCATAAATATTAAGAAAACCTGGAAGTTTGTGCAAGATTTATACCAGCTATAATGTATGTAGCAAGGTAGAACGTGTGCCAAGGTTGTAGGATTGTTCAAATCCTGCATTGTAGTATGGACAGATTTTGAAAGCTGGGAAAGTATCATCTGTGTTGTCATTTCTTGTGAAATGATACTATTTGCTCAAGTGTATTTTATGCTCAACTGCTTTTACTATAGGAAATCCGAGACATTGAACAGTTGCCAACCCCTCCCTCTACTGAAACCGCTACAGCTACTCACAGCAAACTTAATTTGTGCCAAGTAGATTCATTAATACAAAATGTATAAATGTGTTCGCCAGCAGAAACCTCCTGGTATCTCGATGTTGATGGTTGCGGCTCTGTCATGAATTAGTTTTCGCGTATCTGTTGTCCGACACATTTAGCTGGTTACTAGTGAATGGCTGTGTTATATCTGTCATCATTTAGGCTCATGCGAGGTCCTGGACGGAACTTGACTTAGTGATTTGGAACTAATTACGATATAACCGTTGCCAACCGGACTACTATTTCTGACGTTTGGTATTTGCAGTTAGTAATATAGTGAACGATTAATCAAAAGATATGACGTGTTCAGTACTTAGTGTGATTGGCTATGTGTAAGTTGAATGTGTGAAGGCCACGCCTTATATACTTTAAACGTCTTTGTAATTGGTTAAGTTTTGATACGTAATAAACGGTCCATGGTTCCAGAGAGAGCTCCACGAGGCGAGAGAGTCTTGGCCAGTCCTGGGCAGAGTTTCGGACGAGGCAGTTTGTCTTGAGGCGTTCTCGATGTGGCTAAAGACTGGCTATTGAAACGTATTTGATTGTAAAGCTTAAGTGACTTTCCCGGTCCGGTACCTCGAGCAGACGTGTATAGAGACAAGACGAGAATTCCCCCCTGACACGTGTTGGAGAAACCAGGGCAAGAAAAATTCCCCATGATAGCTCCATAGTAATCGCTGATTTCCCTGCGGGTCCCGGCTGCGGGTGGATCTCCCGAGAGCCCTTCAAGGTTTATGAAAGTTAGTTTCCAGGTGGTCAACATACATTAAGTTCTCCCAATCGTAGTATTCCATGTGATGTACACCTAACATACCAAAATGCTGCTGAACGATTTGAACCGGACAAAAATAGCAGACGAAAATGTGTTGACATAATAAAAATAGTTCGGTAGTCATGTTCATTAGCATATCGACCGTGAAAATACCGAAAACAATATTGCATGGGTGATATGCAAATTAGTTTTAGTCAAAATAAATGACTGCCTAAAATTACCATTACTGTTGTTCAAATTGAATTTCACTCGGCAAGTATATTCATGGTTCTGAGGGGGGGGGGGGGTAACTTACTTCTAAATATTATTTATTTCTGCTATGTTTCGAAAAACGGTACTTCTGTGATGAATTTGTTTTTGCGTATCTGTTAATCGACTTAATTAGCTGATTATTAGCGAATTGCTGTGTTATGTCTGTCACCGTTTAGGCCATGTGAAGTTTTGGACGGAACTTGGCTCAGTGATTTGAAACTAATTACGAG